ATGTACTCGTCCCATCAATTCAAGCACTGCATATGATACCTAATATATTGATCTATGAGACTATGATTATCATTAGATCACGGTTATCGGGTTATTCCTTCTACCCATGAACTGAGATTATTATTATTATTTTCCGGAACTATTTATCCGTCTTCGTCGCCACCGCTTGTCGGAAATACATATTTATTTCWATAACCTGCCCGTTCACCGCTCGCGGCGGCCGTGGCCCTGGCCTTCCCGCGGCGTTCTGCCGTTCCGGTCCGCGGGGCCCGGCCACCTAGTGTGGTATTGCGGTACTACGGTAGTGAGTGGCGACTGGTGAGTGGTGCGGTCCAGTCGACGACCGAATGTGGGACACGCCGCATGCACCAACWTCAGGAATGTAGAATAGATCCATCAGCGAGAAAAGAACTGCCAACTGCGAACAGACCGCGGCACCGAACTTTTGAATTAATTTTGTTGTTATTATTATTATTATCTTATATCACGGTGTTTATCATTATTCATTAGCCTTAATAGTTTTTTGTTACCTTGTTTCGATAAAGCGATATTGAATTTATTAATTTTATTTCTCGACTCATTGATCATCGTATTTAGAGTAGAAACTCATCACGTCTCTTACTATCCTCGATGGCAGGTACCTGCCTATGTCGACTGCTGTAGGTGTACGCTATTACACTGAAAAAACGGTAATACTGTCCCTGTAATATTTATCCTGTACTCTTAACCGTTTTCGCACATCGCAGGTATAACGTCCCAAACAGCTCTCGTGCTCTCGTCGTTAGTTGCAACCAGATTTTTTGGTACCTGTGTTGTTAAAATTTTTTTTTWAAAAGGTGAGTATATAGGTTAGGTACGAAGTACTAGTACTAAGCTAGTACGAAGCGTTAGGAGCTCGGTGTTTGTCTCACCGGTGCTTCGCGTTCTTCAGTCTCTTCGTACTCATCTGGCAATTTGTCGACGAACTCTATTAGCCTGACAATACCACACAATATGTACTGGACTGTTCACATGTATGGTGGCCCTCGACGGGTCAACCACGCAGCTGTCGCTATCGGCACGAGTATTTTCACGTTTGGTGGTTACTGCAGTGGTATAGACTACAAAAACTTCAAGCCAATTGACATTCATATTTTAGACACAGGTAAAATGTTGTAGGACGTCTAGTTTAGTGCTGCGTGCCTTAGGTCATATCTAATGTAATTAATATAATGCTTGTTTTGTAATTCCAGTGAAATTGAAATGGTGGAAACTGGAGTTAATAAATCAAGATTGCAAATGTGTTCCGTTCCAGAGGTATGGTCACACAGCAATTAATCTTGGATCTAATATTTACCTGTGGGGTGGACGTAATGACAATGAAGTTTGCAACACTCTCTACTGTTTTAACACACGTAATTGATTATTTTAAATCTTAATAAAAAAAATCAGATATTGGTATTAAAATATCATACTTACATAGGTGCCTAAATTAAATTATGCTCTTATTTTTCTTTATTATTATTAGAGAATGCTGTACTTGCATGTGTTAATCCCTTTGCATTACTAATGCATAACATCTACCCACCTAAATGTATGTTTAGCAGTTTCAATTCTGTGTTGTTTACTTAAATATTAGAATAAATCAACTTATTTCTCAGACTCAAATATGACATATCCATACACACTTAGATATTGGGTTTATATCAATATTTTGATTTTTAACCGATTTATGGATATGTTCAGTATTAATATTTAAAAATCCTCATAACACACAAATGTTATATATTTCTGTGTGAAAGACCTATAAGTGTTGAATGTCCTTGTAAGACATATTATTTTTGTTTCCACTTATCAAATAATTAAAATAAATAATGAAAAAGTTTTATCATTACTCATCTAGAAGAAAGAATTAGCAAAAAGGTTAATTCAAGGGTAGGTACTATGTTAATTAATGTATTTAATTAATATTTTTATAATGCATTTTTTAAATTATAATTTAAACACTTAGCTTTTAAAGTTTATTATTGAAATTATTTATTCACTACTTAAATCATTTAATAAATATGCATAGTTGAACTGATGTGCAAGTCAAGACTTAATAATTATATCAGAACAAATAAACTGCTGACTAGTTCATTATTAATTAGTAGAGCATTAGTTAATAGAACTAAAATAATTAAAATTTTCATTCCCTCAGTAATTTCTTTTATAAACTTTCAAAATTAAAAATCAGTTGTGGAATGAAGGTAATGCTCTGCTGTACATTAGGTCATTGAGTTATTATAATGGATGTTTTAAATTTGAATTCTATAATCATTATAGACGAAAAACAATTTTAAACAAATACCATCTATCAGCCTATAATATAACTAAAACATTCTGTATGACTGTACTCTAAAGTCTCAAGTACCCAAGAATAATATTTTAAAATTACAACAAAATTACTTAAGAAGATGTGATACCCGCTTGTGTTGTCTCTGTCTTACAAGTGAGTAACATAACAAATTTTACACTCAGCAGAACACTTGTTGCTCTGTTAGTTTAAAATTTACCCGTAATAAAATTTAAAGGTAAGATTATTATTTAGACAACCTCATAGGCTTTTTATCGTATTTTTAAGTATTTTAAAATTGTAAATAGTTTTTACATTTTAAAATACTCATAACTCACCATAAATTAAAAATATGATTAAAAGCCTTTGAGGMTATCTAGATAGGTAATAATCTTGCTTTTTAATTTTATTGAGGTCAATTCACTATACATTTTAAACTAACAGAGTTACACATGTTCTGTTAAGGGTAAAAATTGTTATGTTATGCGCTTATTAGACAGGGACAACACATGCAGGCATAACGTCTTCTTAAGTTGTTATTCTTGGTTTAAATATGTAATTTTATTTAAATCTGCACTCAGCATTTCTGTAAAAATAATTATATTCAAATACATTTTTGATTTTTTGGTTTCAGTACCAACTGTATGAAAATCCTTGATTTAAATTTTTAATTGTTAGCTGTAAAAATAACTTCAGATGCTCATAAAAAATTATTGTAGGTTTACTCTCAACTTTATTTTTAGTTTCCATTTTTCTATAAACAACTAATGAAGAACATTATAGTATTACATTTTCAAGTTTTTTGACAAAACAACATTTTTTTAATCGACAATAATTACAATGAAATTTAAATGTTTTAATGTCTGTAAATAGTGCAAAAAAAATGTGGTCTAAATATATAGGTCTCTTTTTATATACCAGATTTTCTCTAGGTTGTTGGCCACTTAAAAAGAGTAATATTCTCCTTGAGCCATAATGTATAAATAAGTTTTAGGTAAGTGTAATATTGATTATTGAAATATGATTGAATTTCGATTAATTGAAAATTGAAATAATTATTGTTTATTAAAATTATTGATATATTCTATATATTCTATAGCCAAACACGTTATAAATATAATTTTTATTATTATTTYAGGMATTAATATTACAATTATTTCACAAAAAGTATCAATATTTTAATTTTAAGTTGTTGAATATATTGTATATAGTTATTATGTTAAGTCAATGTGTAACTAACCTTAATTACTAAAAAAATTATATATAATTAATTGCCTGGTTATTTAAGCCAAAATTTATTTTGCATAACTAAAAAATAAAACAATAATAGTAATAATAATTGATAAAAGTAAATAAAAATGTAGATAATGGAAAATTGTATTTATTATAAAATACAAAAAATAAATTTTAATTATATAATTGATTATTTCAATACAAAAATATTTGTTAAGCTTATAGACATATTAGATTCTGGTTTTAATAAATATTACCAGTATTCAACGTTATTCTAATTTAGAATACTCTAACTATAACATCTAAACTTTGAAAGAAAACAAGTAAAATATTATTTTATTTTAACTGTATTAAAAATAAAATAGTTACAACAGACAAATAAGGTATCTTTTTTTATGTTTTGTCATAAATTAGATATTTAAATAAGAAAAAAATTATAATTATTGAAAATTATAATTTTTTTAATTTTTAGTTATTGTTAATTTGTGTATATTTAATTTTTATAATTTTAAATTACTTAAATAATTTTAATCAATTGATTTGAGGTTCTAGGTAGGTATTTTTTTAAGAATATTAAAAGCATATTATTTTAATATATTTATAAGAATAAGTACATTTTAAACTACAGCTTTTGGAATTGTAAATATACATTTTTAGGATTTCAGTGTATTAAATACAGTTAATAGCTCACAGTCAATATAGTCCATAGCTGTAATTATGAGTTGAACTAAGATTTTTAAATCTAAAAAAATTTGAAAATTCATTAAAATCTATGAATTACTGAAAATATAGAGTGTTTTGGGTCTAAGATATCTATAAATATTTATAAGTGTGTTATTTATATATTATCTCTTATAACTTATGTTTTTTCTTTAGTTATAATGTAATAAATCAAGTTATAGCTATAACGAAACATTTTATTTGTATATAATCAATAGCCAGTTTTATTCTTGGTTTTAAAATGGTTTTTTTTTTCTATAAACATGTTTGTAATAATTCTTATGTAATAAATTAGTTTTTTTTTTTAAATTTAGAAACTTTAAAATGGACTACACCAAATGTATATGGAAATATACCTGAGCCAAGAGATGGCCATTCAGCATGCATCATTCAAAACTGTATGTACATATTTGGTGGATTTGAAGAACATTCAGGTCTATTTGCTTCAGATTTGTACATGTTAAACTTTCACTCAATGGTATGGAGTATAGTTAAAACAAAGGTAATATTTGATTAAAAAAATTTATCTTGTTACCAAGTAATACCAAGCCTTTAATAATTTTGGTGTTTTTATTTTTACAGGGACGTCCCCCGTCGTATAGAGATTTTCATACTGCAACTGCAATTGATAATAGAATGTATATATTTGGTGGTCGTAGTGATTATCATGCACCCAGACAAACTGATAAAGATAAATATTGTTCCGATATTTATTATTTAGATACCTCTAGAAGGAAGTGGATACGTCCAAAAGTCTATGGTATTAAACCCATAGCACGACGCAGCCATTCTGCATGTATGCTAAAACTATTTACTAAAAATATAATTATTTTACTAATATTAATCTGTTTGATTGATTACAGTCGTCTATAATGGTTTTTTTTACATCTTTGGTGGGTTTAACAAGAACAAGGACTTACATTTTCAAGACATTAATCGATATGATCCAGTTAGTTCCACCTGGATGAAAATATTACCAAAAGGCACACCACCATGTGCTAGGAGAAGACAGATTTGTCAATTAATCAATGACAGGGTATATATATCCGGCGGTACTAGTCCGATTTTTCCCAAACCAGCAATTACTGCAAGATTGAGGGAGTATGATCTGGGTGATCAATTGAATAATATACATCTCAAGGATCATGATGACCTTCATGTTTTAGATCTGAGTAAATCTAAGATTGTTTTTAATAATTGGTTTCCAAAAACAATTAATTGTATTTCTTTCTATTTCATAGAGCCCAGCCTAAAAGATATGTGTATGGTGAATGTGTGGGAGAATATGGAAGAAATGAAAATTGATAATATAAACGATCTAAGCATTCCAGTATCATTAAAGTAAATACATTTATTATAATTAGGTTGCTGTTACTAGTWAAGCATTAATTTTTAATCAAGTTGTCTAATTAAGGTTTAATTTCGATGTATTAAAGACCTTCTAAAATATTTTCAGGCATGATTTGGCCGCCTTTGATCCTTTTGAAGTAATGTATACCGGAGTCAATATGATGCAGTCATATGATGAAAATTTTCCTATTCTTGCGTAGTTATTGTTCAAAAATTAACCAAAACAGAAATTAAAAACGCACTTTAATCGTTACAACACAGTTTATTTTAAACATTGATTTAAAAACATCTTCATTAATATTAGATCATTGTTAAATCAAAAAATGAACCTAACGATTTATAACTTTATAAGGCATACCTTATTCATTAAAGAGTACTAAGTTTTTTATCTAACAAAATATGTATTTATTTGACCATGTCTTTTTTTAATTTTTATTGTTATTTGTTATAGTTGTGTTAATTAAGGTATAAATACTAATATAATTGTTAMATTTTTACTTTTTTTGGATTTAAGTTAATTATGCAGTTATTACATTTTCCTAAAAATATTGTCTCATTGTTGGYAGTGGTTGAATTGGGGGAAAAAAATGTGTACTCTAAATGAAGTTGAACAATTAGCGTTCCAAAGCAAATTAACCTAATAGTAATCCTAYTTCTTGATGAATAAAATGAAGGGATACACTATAATATAAAGAAAAATGAAGAGTAGCCCAATTCTTCCTCAATTCAATCACTGATCATTGGCCGAGTATATTAATTTTTGAGTGATGTGCTCGAATAGTAAATACTTTTTAACAGTACAATTAATATTTTGTTCAAATTAATGACAATAATATTCATAGGAATTCCCACATGAATGCACATATATTTTSGCTTTTGTGAATAATTGATAACACTACTACTGCTATACTTTACTCAGCAAGAGAATATTGYTGCTCCCACAAAACTGGTTCCAGAAATAGTATAAAACATAGACATAGATATTTATATGTTTATAATATAAACATTAAAATTTGAATAGAACAGATGAATATAAAATTGCTGAAATATCTGTCATTCTTTACTCATAAAATGAAAATTAAGCATAACAAATTCAAAAGGTTACATATTTTAATACAAACAGAAAACGGTGGAGTTTTATAAACTGTATTATTATATTTGTAAATTAGAAATAATTTTATTAAACATTGAATGTCCCATTATTGAATACTGATTAAACAGATAACTTCATTAATTATTATTAAGAAGACGCCCCTCGGCATTAGTTGTCTCCATCTTACAAATATACAACATGAAACATATTAAGTTTACATTAATACATTTCACTCTGTTATTTTTTAAGTTAGATTGAAATTTTATTGATATTATTTTTAATAAATTTATGATCATTTCAAAATGTACAAAAAAATAATTTAAAAATGGTTTTAACTTGCTTAAAAATAATATCAATAAAATAAAGTTTAAGTAATAATTTTACCTTTAAATTTTATAAGAGGTAAATTTCGAAAATTAACAATTAAAATATTAAAATATGTATTATTATGAATGTAAATTTATGGTAATTTGTGCAWTTGTAAGACATAAACAACAAATGCTTGTGAAGCATCCTCTTATGAACCATTTACAATCTGATAAATTTATTAAAATTTGCTTACTCTAGTCACAAAACAAATAACATATTTAATCAAAAWTAATTGTAATATGGCATAACAAATATTAATYATTGTACACTAATCCTTAGGATTGGCAGTCATTTTGAAAAACATRATGTATAAAAAAGTAACCTTATACACCCTGACAAATTTAAAATGAATTAACAAACACTTATCTTATCAYTGAATGCAGTGGTTTTCAATCTTTAAGCAAACACATTAAATTTGTAAACCACTGATTTAATGGCTTAAGACGAGAATTTCATCATGGCCTTGTTTATACAACATGGCTTTTATGATTAATTTACATTCTGATTTATAATTTGCATATGTTTACAATAATAGACAATGAAGAATAATATTTAAATTAATAATAGCATAAACAAAAGTACATAGAATATTTTTAAAGTAAGTAGATAATCTATAATAGGTAAGTTATGTAATAAAATATGCGATTAAGTGAGTGGAAGAAAACAATCAATATTGAATTTATATGATTATATCATATTAATAGTTTAAGACGTAATAAAATTTCAAATGATTTAATATAGCTAAATTAAAAATGGTAAAAAAATCTCCAAAAAGTGATGTATTTAGTTTGATATATTTTCTTAAGGAATATTGAGATCGTCACAAAATAAAAACGTTTATGTCTTTATCACAAGGGGTCCAAGATGGTGAAGGATTCATTTTTTCTGTTCACCCATAAGTAAGTGCTAAATACTAGCATTATACATCCAGACAATGCCAATATGAGCCATATGTAAGGAACAAAAATTGGTAATACATCTGTAACAATCAACAATTGGTCGGACATATTGCGTGGAATTTCAAAACTTTCAGAAAACCAAAACACAGGGAAATAGATTTCTGGCATGTTCTTTAGAATTCTGAAAAATCAAATTAGATAAAATACATAATGTATTAAGAATAAAAAAATAAAATGTTATTACTTGAATTCCTTGACTGGTTTTACTTTGACATTAAATTGAAGTCTAGCATCTACTCTGAGTGGTATTGAATAATCCTGGAACATATAATTAATACAAGTTTTTTTTTTAAATTAAAATTTCATAACAATATTTATTTATTGTAAAATAGAAATATTTAGGTACTTACATTTTCTAAAACCATTTTGAATTCATGCAAAGTCCGATTAGAATTCATACCAATTACTGACTGTTTGTATGATTCATCAGCTAAATAGAAATGTGGAAATGATATGAATATAGGAAGCGCATTGTCTCCACATAAGCTTAATGGCCGTACACCAGGTAACAGACATCCAGATTTTGGACAGTAACAGGTATTGTTAAAAACATCTGATCCAGCAACAAATTCAACTCCTTTTATACCATTAATAAATGTGTAGTTGTTATTTAGCATAGTAATTGCACTAAAAATTATTAAAATATAGTAAATAATTATTTTTTATTTGATCTAAATATATTGATATTTGAAAATGACAGTAATTTCAGTTTAATACTTCACATATTATGTATGGATAACGATTTAAGGCTACACATTCTAAAATGCTTAATCTAAAATATTGATAAATTGAGATTCTTTAACTGTTTTGGTTAAAATAGAGAATTTCTTTGTTGTTGGTTTCTTTTTGTTTAAATTTAATTAGGAAAAATAAATGGTTTTGGAATATATAGTTTGTACATTAATTTACCTGCAAATACCGGGTATATAAATTGACATGTTAGGTTGCATTGCAGTGTGTTCAGGCCAAAGATCACCTGCCGAAGCATTTGAATAACTACAATCCTTCTKGAACACATTCAGCTTAGTATTGTAATTGACCGAATGCACAAGTCCAACATTTTCAATATTATTTTTCCCAGTAAACATATTGATTAAGCCATCTGAAGAAGTAGACATATTCATCTGTGAATTTGTACAATAATTATTTTTTTTWAAAGCATGAGGTAAATCAACAATATTAAAAAAAAAAAATGTATTACACCATATAACCATCCCACTTTTTTCAACGGTATGTCAACGGGGAAAAAAGCTTTTAGTTTGATTGCAATGTCCAAAAGCGGATCATCGTAACCACTGAAAAGTAATTCGCTAGCTGTCCTCGTTACATATGGATTGTTAATATTTGACATTTTCAAATARTAGTTAGTAAGGACAAATATCCAATGTTTATTTATGGCTTGTAGTTTTTCACCCAAAATCTATAAACATTTGAATTGGTGTAATTAAAATATTCAACAACTTTTTTATAAAACTTACATTAACCACAATATTAATTGTGGTAACACGGTCAGATAATGAGCCGTTTGAAAGAGATTGATCAAACTCCCAACTTTTTAACTGCATGTATGTTACTGTTTCATTATTGTTGAATGTCACATTMACTTTGGTACGGTTTTCTCTGAAATTATATATATTTTATTTACATAGATATACACATGGATGATTACACAAATAATTAATACAGAACTGAAAAATTTAGTTTTGCAATTAATTTTTGAATATAATTCAAAGTTCAATTGAATGAGATGTAACATTTATATTTCATACTTGAAGACATATGGTCCTAGCTGTTGCAATATTGGTAAATCTCCAGTCTGTAGCGTAGCTTCTGGGTTTGTCCAGTTAAATAAGTATACACTCATGTGCAATGGCGCTGGTATTTGTTTCCAATACTTGTAAGTTAGAGTATTATTTTCTAATTCGAGTTTCTAAAAAACACAAAATATTAATTTAGCTATAAGTTTAAAATATTTATATTATTCATATGATTTGCTATAGGACATTTTTTATGGGAAAAGTGAAATTTCAGCAAACTTAATAGTGGTCTCACAACAAGTACTAATTAGTAATTATAATCAGAAAAATTACATGCGCTTTTTTAATTTAACCAAAGAGCTCATTCAAACTGTAAGATAAAATCAAGAATTACGTTTTTCATTATGTTGTTAAATATCTGTGGCCACAAATCGGCCATGATAATTCCTGTGAAAAGAAATATAATGCCAAGCAATGACATTATAAGTTGACACCAGAAACCACAACATTTTGAATCTTTATGCTCATGTTTGGCTGTAATCAACCTCCTGAAAACAAAATACAAATTGTTAAATAATAAAATTAAAAAGTAAGAGAATCTAAGATTTATCTAGGTATAGGTTGTCGTGTCTAATTAAAAAGGTGTYCGAACAATATTTTTATATTAGAAATTGCGATCAATTATAATCATGTCATTTGTACATTAAATTGTGTGAAATGTGAGCAATATTCATAAAAATAATTTGAAAAGTAAATAATCGGATATAACTGATATTATTTACTATAACAGTAWACATGTTATAATAAAYCTCTGTGACTTAATATTGTTCACAGTTGTACATTACTCAATGGACGTAGTTAAAGAGAATTAGGTGGACACTTAGTAAATGTTTAAACATGTTTATAACAAACTCAGAATTCCAATAATCGTTAAATTGTGATATTATTTACTTACTCTGTTTCCTCTATGTCGTGACTCATTGTTAAATGATAGAGTTTCACCATTAGCTGACGAGTGCTAAATATTGCAATTTATAATAATTTATGTCTGACGATGTATATTTTCTATAAATCTCATCGCAAACCGTGTAAATTGTACAAAAATCAAGAACAACGACGACAACTAGGAACTTGTAATATTGCACTATTGACTACAACTGATTTTTCGGTTTAAAGTCTAATCGAACAAATCACATGGTCCATATTGATCGCACAATCGGTGTTTTTCAATATAATATTTAAAAATTAAAGGACGGTAGGTATGTATTATGTAATAAAGAATTTTAATTCAAAGCCTTAACGAGTATTGACGAATGATTAAAAAAACTATTCCCGTCACACTCTGTGTGAATATAAAATATTTATAATTTGTATAAATAAAATATTTAAAAGTACATTTAGATACAACTAATTGTATAATAAYATTTATAATGATGTATTGATGCACATTGTGTCATTGTACAACATACATCGTTCGCTCTTATCTACTTAATTCCGAATGATAGTACGATACAATAACTATTATTCATGTTATTTTTTTTAATTCAAGGTTTTTTATTACATCACAGAACACGACAAATTTTATTTGATAYCACAATATTAGATAATAACGAGAATAATAATATAATATCATCGTCAAATAAAAATAACAAAATATTGAACTTAAACGAAAAATAGTGAGTCCCTGCTGAGTGTTAAGTGGTTGAGTCACTATATCAAATACCATCATAGTGGTGACCCGATCACAGAATACTTTTTAGTGATTAGTGGCTAAGCGCTAAAATATTATAATATTATCTTAGTGTCGACTGTTGTTTCGACATCAATATAATAATAATTTATAAATGAGTAATACCTATCACGCAATAACCAGCTTTACATTTTTACTAATATAATATGAATATTTCATTATTGTGTGACAATAATATGCCATACAATATTATACAAAACTATTTTTTTATTTTTATTAAACAAATAAGTAACATTTACAATCTGTACCATAAAAAAAAAGAAGTTACAATAAACAAATAGGTTAACATAATTATATTGGACACGGTGACGTAGAGAAGGGAAGCTATTCAGTGAGAAGATTTTACAAGACCTTATTCTAAACTAAAAGACCACAACACCCAGGGCCGTATTTACGCCTAGGCCCGTGAGGCCCGGGCCTAGGGCGGCAAATTTTTTGGGGCGGCAAATTTTGTAAGAAATAAAAAAAGAATCATATGAATGCATGAAATATTTATATGATTTTTTTTTTAGATATCTGTATGTAAAATATACGGGAAAAATGTATACTGATAATGCCTATAATTAGGATTTATAATTATTATTTGTTTAGTTTATAATGACTATTGACCTAATTTCTTTAAAATGAAATAAATTTATTTGTAATAATTACAATTTTTTTTTCTTGGGGTAGAGGCGGCATATTTAAAAGGGCCTAGGGCGGCACTTGTTCTAAATCCGGCCCTGACAACACCAACGTCTTATCTCTTAGTAAATGAGATTTCAAAGTTAGAGTCTTTCTTTTGAATTTTAGGGAAGGACTCCGAGTTAATATTTTATCTAAAATAATACCAAGATATTTGAATTGGGTTGAGGAGGGGATAGAAACTCCATGGAGGGAGAGACTAGTCAGTAGGCATATCTTAGATTCCGAGCGGAGCGAGGAATGTGTTTATTTTATCATGATGTGTGTATTTTTTTTTGTGTCTATCATCACGTTTTGGGGCAGTAAAAGTGCTTCGATTTTCGACTTCAGTAGGTACCTCGTTCGATCAGAAAGTGAATCTAGTTGGTAAGTATAAATTCTCAATATTTTTCTAAATAATCGGAATAAACAAACTAAAAATTAAGGGGAAAATGAGAAATTTTACCCACAATCAGTTTCCGACAAAATCGATTTTAGTTTTTGATGTAACTTTAAAACAAATGATCATAGATACATGAATTTTTCACTGAATTTTTATATAAGTATATTCTATCCACCATGCAATTTTCAAAAAAATTTGACTTAAGTTGAACTATTTATAGGCATATTTTCGATCATTATTAGTCCTTTTAAAATTAATATTGTTAAAATTGTATTTGTTGGGTAGAAAAGTTATAGACAATTTAATACAAGGCTCCTAACATATTGTCACAACTCACAATAGTGGTTGAAAAATAAAAGCATTCAAAGTTTGAATTTTGACAAAATACGTAAAAATCACAAAAATTCGCAAATTATTTTAAGCTAGAAATTCATAAAAAAATTTCTTTTTAAATCTTAATTTAATTCAAGATTCCTTACAAGTTTGTCATTATTTATCACGAAAAAAAAATGTCCACCAGAAATTCAAATTAAATTTTTATGAGCGTTTGAAATTTAAATTTTTACAACATTGGATTTTCGCTGGAGTTCACATTTAGCGATTTTCTTATTTTAGCGTAATTTTAAAACAAATTTTTTTTATAAGCATTTAAGCATTCAAAGTTTGAATTTTGATAAAATATGTAAAAATCACAACAATTCGCAAATTATTTTAAGCTAGAATTTTATAAAAAATTTTCTTTTTGCAAAAAATGCATTCAGTAGAAGTTCGAAATCAAATAATATGGTATGTCTATTGGTTAATTTACACAATTGTTTTTATTATTCTATAAAAAATTACCTAGTTAAATAAATTGTTTTAATATTATAATAAATTATAGCTCATAAATCAAGCTCCTTCTATACTGTGTAGAACAGGTCACATATATATTATACGTATTTATTACTCATTTGTGTGACAATAATCATAATTCATATARTATAATGCAATTTAATTGGCGTATATAACTTTTGAACATACGGTATAACGTMATTTTTTACTTAGATTATGAATGTAGTCGCTATTTACATTGTTTTCCCGCTGTTTGTTAATTATTTTTTAAAATTTATATGATTAATATAAAAAAGCTCAAATAAATATAAAATTACAGAATAGTTAGTTTTTACAAGAACCTAAAAGACTAAAAATGTTTGTTACATTTTTCGGTTATAATCTTGGCGATAGTACAGTTTATTAAAAGGTTCGGGTTAATGGTATGGCCCATCCCGTTGCGAACATTATAAGAGATTCTGAACGGATTAAAAGAGTAGGTATATAATATAACTTATAAGTGAACATGCATTATGTATAAAAACTAAAATGCAAAGTGTATGTCTGACGCTTACCTATAAGGTATATAATAATTAAAAAAATACTCAACAAATTTCGACAATTTAAGGAAGGTTTAGTTAATAGATTAAAGAAGTTTTTTCAAAGTAGTTTACTGCAGCTAATTGTTAATATTATTAAAGTTATCTTTGTTTACTTCTGCTCAAATTTTGTTCACTTAAAAAAAAGTAATGGTTACTATTGATTAGTACAAATTAGTATTTTAAAGTTGGCTGAGTTTTAGGTACTAATAGCCACTAATATATGGATTTTCTACCAAGGTGGCTGAATTGCACTTAYTGCTGCGAGTTGTATAATCTAAAAGGATTTGAACAATCGCAATTTTCTAAAGGGTTGTCATATTTAAAGGGCAAAGTGCACGGGGTCTGCTAGATTTATGATAGAAATTTTTGTTTATTAATGGTTGCTATAATTTATAAGATTTAAGAATAATATTTATTTATTATTTTTTTTTAATTTGAATACATCATTCTATTTGTATGTGTCATTAAAAATGCTAGTAAGACGCCAGAGTGCCAATTTTTGTCGTAAAATAAATGCTGTTACAAACATGAGAAATAGAAGAGGGCAATAAGAACTGCAGATGAACCACTCCAATTCAATTATACGAATTTTCGTGTGAGCGTGGCGCAATTGTGTGAATCTCAATTATAATAGCCAATAGGCACTAGCTGAACGCAATAATAAACAACGAAGAGTGGAGCAAAGACAAACGCGTCGATTCGTAGTTGACACACTCAGTGCACGTAAACGTTCGCTTGAGTGTTGGACAGGACATTGAAGGAGATAGAAAACAATGTCAAACTATTTGGTGGCACTCTGTAACCGATTTCAGGTGATTTCAGACAAACACTTTTCGTCATTCCACGTTCAACATACACCGATGAGATCAACGCTTGCCAAAAATCATCGCGACTGCGGCGTAATGTTGAAAAATTACAGCTGAAAGTAAATATGCGAGTTAAAATGCTTCAAAATCCATCATCCGCTGAAACATTTTAAAACAACTGTTAGATATCGGTGATAGAAAAACAGCTTTACATGAACATACTGGGTGCATAAAATTGGCAAACGATTTCTGCACAATCATTAATTCGCAAGATGATCTCATTGACCTGCAGATATTAACCGTTATACTCACGTAATACTTAAGCCCTGAGTGGCTGGCAGAAAGAGCAATTGTGGCTGCAAAAAATGTTGATGTCAACGATTTGATTTAATCAAGATACAACAGTTGTTKCCGAGGACTTGGTGTTGTACAAAGCTATCGATACAGTTTGCGATACCAATGAAACTGCAGTAAATTATCCRGCAGGTTAAGGATCAGGTCAAGGCCAAAAGTGTCTGTGGCTTAAATTTGGGCAAACCGTGTTTTTCACACAGACTAWTATACGTGGCATATGTACTCGCGTGGGTAAACCATCTAGTTTGTTAGTGTTAGCTAAAGATGGACTTACTAAAAATATCGTACCTACACTCCATATAGCACTAAGAGACTTATAGTGTTTTCATTTTCCATAATGTGTGATAGAGATGTAATTTGAAATTTATTAGTTAAGATAATGAAAGTACAATTAATTCAAAAAAATGAATATTTAGTGTTTTGCTATATTGTTCCCTGCACTATTCTTCTTTCAGACATGAGACATGTACCAATAAAACACATCGACATACAATTATAATAATTAACTTATTTTTTATTTGACTACCAATATATTCATTAACAAAAAAAAAATGTATAAGGCAAAACAACGTTTGCTGGGTCCACTAATTTAATTATATATATATTAAAATATATGA